TATTACATGTTTTCAAAAATTAAACCACCAAACGCAGTTTCAGTTTTTTTTAAAACTAAAATCAATCTCTAAATAAAACTACCAAACGCATTTTCAAAAATAATTCAAAAATGAAACTAAAAACGTTTTCATTTTCATTTTCGTACAGAAAACAAAAACGTTTTGGAATCAATTCCAAACGCACCCAAAATGTTAATTTAAAAATAATTATTTTAAATGAGAAAAATTCTTAATAAAGGAATCATAACTGAAAATGAATAACAAATTTTTTATTAATTAATACTAACAATAGACTCAATTTAATTAATCTTAATTAACTTAATCGGGTCTTACAGAAACCTAGGTAGGTTCTAGGTATTCCAGGTTCACTCATGGAGTTGCTTCCTACAAACTATTGCGCAAAAGCTTATCAAAGAGCTTGAAGATATCAAACAATTCTACAAAAGTCAATAATATATATAAGCCAAGGAATTATTCAACAAAAACAAATGTTCAAAGGAATGTTAAAATTGTTTATATATATATATGCAATTTTAAATTCTTGATCTTAAAAAGGAGTTATTAACTTATGTGATATGCGGCAGCTTATGATTTAGGATAAGTAGTACTACAAACATTAAACAATTCATGCAAAAAAAAAAAAAAAAAAAAAAAAAAAAAAAAAAAAAAAAAAAAAAAAACACACTGAGCAATTTTGAAGGTGAAGCAGAGTTGGAAGCGGCGCTATCTGTGGAGGTGCCGCTGCTACTTCCAAGACCGCTTTGAAGTTCTCAAACCGTTTCCTCCAAGGTAAGCAAACACAATTATTGCTTTGCCTATATATGAATGTATATATACATACATATCCATATAGGTGTATATATACAAATATATATATTAGATCTTTATATATCACACACATGTAAAATATTTTTTAATAACTAAATTATATATCTTGGCAGTGTATATTGCAACAAGATGGTTTACTTCATTATTTATTAGTCATTAGTTATTCACCAAATTATGAAATTATATATCTTGGCAACGCATATTGCAACAAGATGGTTTACTGCATACTCTATTAGTCATTAGTTATTCACCAAAATATATATATATATATATATATATATATTCTGTCAAATAAAAAAGAAACCATAAGTCATTAGTCCTAGTCCAATGTATATACCGACCCTTTAAGAATTTGGGATGTATTTTCAAATTTCGTATTTACCACTTGGAAGAAGCTACCAAATAACTTTCTTGTATGTTGTATTAGTTCTATTTTTTCTAGAAAAAAATTAATTTTTCTCTTTGTTTATTTAAAAACTAAAATTAAAATTTGCTTACCAGGGTGTTAAAAACAACAAACTGTAAAAACCGACCAAACTAAGTTAAATTAACCAACATAATTAGTTTTTTACTTTTAATTTATTTGGTTTGGTTGGTTCATAAATAACAATGAAATTGTTTGAACTTAGAAATTTCAAACCACTAAAATTGACTAAACTGACCAAAATATTTATAATATTTAGTTTTAGTTTGATTGATATAGTTTGCCCATGTGATCACATTTCAATAATACAACCAGTTGGTATCGGAAGTCAAAACAATCAGAATTTTAATGATGTCTTAAATGAAAGAATGCCGAAATAAATTTAAGATCACGAATCTTTTTTTTTTCTTTTTTTGCTTTAAAATATCTGTACTAACTTAATTATATATATATATATATATATATATATGAGACTCACTTAATTTCATGTTCTAATTCTATATAGAAATAGTAAAATATTTATGTCACCTCACTTAAACTTCGTTCATTTTACCGATTTGAGTTTAGAATTCGAGTTTTATTACAATAAAAACTCTTAAAAACAATCACATCTAACTTTTTATTACAGTAAAAAAAACTCGAATCAAAGGCCCTTAAATACTTTAAGTGGTTGGCGACTTAACTAGTGGATTGCAGTTGGGCTATTAAAAAAAGAAGATTGACTATTCAATGAATATTAATTATGTTTTTTTGTTTTTTAATGTAAAAATGGAATGTTAAGTTCATATGATGATTTAGCAAATTCTATCTGTTTGATGTTTTTAATTTCTTGAATTGAAAAGTCTCTTTTTGGATTTTACATGTATCTTTTTTATATATGTTTTTATGCTCAAATTTACAAAAAGATGCTTAACACTTTTTTCATTGTTCCTTTAGTACTCTTCTTTACTACTGGCTAAATTCCAATAGAAAACGTTTTCGTATGAAATAAATATGTCAACATCAAAGTTGCATGTAGTATGT